GGGGGTATTATTTTTTTGTGATTGGACTTGGGTGTTTAGGCAGGGAGGAAAGACTTCCTTTCCCCTTTCATAAACCACTTCACTTTAAAGAAGGAACTTCCTGGCTGGCCAGTGTGGCTCAGTGGTTGGGTGTCGACCCATGCACCAAGAGGTCGCCGGTTCGATTCCCGGTCAGGGCACATGCCCAGGTTGTGCACCAATCCCCAGTGGGAGGCATGCAGGAGGTGGCCAACCGATCTTCTCTCTCATCCATGTTTCTAACTCTCTCTCCCTCTCCCTACCTCCCTCTCTAAAATCAATAAAGAAAAATAAATTTAAAAATACAAAACTAATAAAGAAGGGACTTCCTCTCTCGCCATCCCTGGAGCCTCCTCAGGATAAACAATGTGGCAGGGTGTTCTTCCTTTTGTCCCCAGTCTCACGAAATGGCCAGCACCTCAGTGTCCCTGTTCACCAAACATGCTGGCTCGGGTTTCATGAACGCCATCCGCTTTCTAGCAAATTAGAAAATCAAATGAAAGAAATTGAATACGAAGACCGAACAGAAAGAAATCGCTCTTTGATAGTCTAGACAGTACCTCGGGATTGTTCCAGGCCTTGAGTGACAGTGAGGAAAGCTGTTCATCACTGGCCGGCACTCTTAGAAATCCGCTCTGCTAACGGGAGCTCTCTGGAGGTTCCAGCTGCGGATGAACACGGGCTGACTGTTCATTTCTAGGATCTCTGGCTTTTCCTGAGGTTACAGCTCTCAGTCCTGAGCTCCAGGTGGGAATCGCATTAGGGGCAGGGACGAAGGCTCATCATCACAATGAATCACTAAAGGATTATGGGTCTTTTTTTTCATGGTGTTTGTAAAGGATCCGTTATTGTTCCCCTAGCATTTCCTAACAGGCTACACCAAAATAACACTGGAAGAAAATTTATAAACTGCACATGCTGTCCAATGAGCCCCCGAACATGACTGAAACATAGAGTTGAGTGATTTTTTATTATTTTATTATGTATTGTCCTACCTTAAAGCTATACCTTGCAATGGTTACTAGTTAGTTCTGGTAAAACTGTTATAGATTCTAGTCTTGGGATGGACTCAATGTTCAGAAATCAGTTCGTAAGAGAAAGGGAGGGAGACAGGCAGGGAGGATTGTGACCACACGTCTCCATGAAATAGAGCTAGCTCGGCCATGATCTATATTGTGTAAGCAAAGAATTGCATCCAAATAGTCTTAAAAATTCTGGAACTTAAACAGGAAAATGGAAATGATTTTCTCTCCCTACCTAAATCCACAATAGCCAGTACAGCAATCATTTTAAGATGAACTTCTTGAAAAGAATCAGCCCAAGCAAGAATTATTACATTTCTACCTGTCATTCACTATTGTGTTCGTGGGCTGCGGGCTGTGTGTGGGTGTGCACGCGCATGTGTGGAGAGGTTTTCATTCACCGTTAACACGGACTCTCCAGAGGACAGAAGTGGCCCCCTCCACCTGCCTCCCTGGTCTCTCCAGCTACCCCTTGGTCTTCCCGCACAGCCTCGAAAAAAGAAAGGTCTCGATCTCAAAAACCAACGGCCTCTGCAGCCTCAGCCTAGCCTCCACTGGTCTTTTCCTCGATCACTGAATACGCTCGTGTGCTCGTCTGTGGAAATCTCCCGAGGCTGGGTACCAGGAAGTGTGGGTCCCAGCCCCCCCTTCCAGGTAATGTCATGGCCCCGGCAAGACCGCCAGAAGCATCATTTCTCCTCATGCTGTTTCCATGACCCGACCTGGCTACTTACTGCCCACACATACTGCTTCGTTTCCGTCCTTTCTCCAACAGCCAAGTCTTCATGACCTCACCGCCCATTGTCTCCTTAAACGTCCAAAGACAGCTTTGCGTCTTCCCCAGCACTGAACTCACTCTTGAGAGTCATCCAACCCAACCTTTATGCCAAGTCAAATAAGCGATACTGACTCTTACTCCTCTGAACTTTTTGGCTAGAGCTGACATGACCGAGGAAACTTCCCACGACATTTGCTCAGCATCCCCACGTTGTCTGTCCCCTCTGCCTCAACTTGGTCTGCGCCACCTGGGTGCCGTGGGCCCCGGCTTTATTCATAGCTGGGCAGCCAGGCACACGTGTGAGGAACTTGGGGGTGGGACACCGCTCTCCAGCCCCACTGTCCCCACTGCCATCCTCAGCCCTCCACACACCACACATGTGACCGAAGCAGCACCACTTTGGGTTAAAAACCTGGATCTCAGAATCTTGTTCTAAAAGTAAATGCCCTTCTTCACTTACATGTGGAATCTAAAAAACAAAATAGCCCAGCTGGTGTGGCTCAGTGGTTGAGTGTCGACCAGCACCAAGAGGCCACCAGTTCGATTCCCGGTCAGGGCATATGCCCAGGTTGTGGGCCAGATGCCCAGTGGGGGGCGTGCAGGAGGCGGCCAGTCGATGTTCTCTCTCATCAATGTTTCTCTCTCTCTCCTCTTCCTTCCTTTCTCTCTAAAATCAATAAAGAAATAAAAAAAATTTTTAAAGAACAAAATAAACAAATGAACAAAACAGAATCAGACTCATAGATACAGAGAACAGGCTGACGGTTGCCAGCTTGGAGTGGGATGGAGGACGGGGGGGGCGGGGAGGTGAAGAGATGGAGAAGTGTAGACTGTAGTTACAGGATAGCTGTGGGGATGTGAAGTACAGCGTAGAGAATATAGTCAATAATATCGTAATAACTATGTGTGGTGCCGGTTGGGTACTAGAATTATCAGGGGATCACTTCATAAATTATCTAAATATCTAACCACTACGCCGTACAGCTGAAATTCATATAACATAATATTGAATGTCAACTGTAATTGAAAAAAAAAAATTTTCAGTAAATGCCGTTAAAAGCTTGTACATTAATTCATCATCTACTAATACAAAATTAATAGATAATTAAATGTAAGCTTAGAAATCAGAAAGTAGCACACTGGAGAAATGGAATATAAAATGAGTTAATTTGGGGGGAAAAGTCAACTCTATTATCTAAATAGAACAAAGTAAGATCATGCCCAAGAAAATGAATATACTTTAATACCTACAGAAACGCTGTTTGCATAATGAAAACCATATAAACATTTCCATAATTGATGACTGACCAGGTACTATCTTCCTAAGCTCTAGAATGCCAATTAAAGATGACAGATTCAATGACCCCTCGGAGAGTCAAAGGTTTATAGTAAAGAGGATTCTGGGGAAATTATCAATTTCTGGCTAAGGTTCTAAAATGGTATGATGATTTACTATCAAAAATCTGAGAGAAAACTTTCCTTTTCTACTAAATGCTATGGTGCTTTTTAGTATTTTTTTTTTTAAATCCTCGCCTGAGGATATGTTTTTATTGAATTTTAGAGAGAGAGGAAGGAGAGGGACCGAGAAAGAGGGAAACATCGGTTGCCTCCCAGGGACCTAACCTGCAACCTGGGTGAGTGTCGTGACCAGGAGTTGAATCCACAACCCTTCAGTGCATATGATGATAATCCAAGCAACTGAGCCGTGCCGGCCAGGGCTGTCATGGTGCTTTCTAACTGTCCTCCCCTGACTCTAACCAGAGAAAACTGGTCATGGATTTCTGCTGAGACCACAAAGACCTGATCTTTTTCCCCATAAATAGTTTTTCCTGCCCATGTGATCTGTGGGGAACACTTAACACTGTATCTATGAATAATGTCTTGGAGCCTCACCCTAATGATTAGCTCTCTACCACTTGACTATTGTTATCAACCACCGTGCTTTGTATAAAGCAACTGAGTGTCTATTATCAGCATTCACTCCTTAATTTTTGTGGCTACCCAAGATGATTCTTTCATTTCTGCAGTCCGGGCCTAGATCAGTGAGAAGGAAATAAATTATCTGGATATCTAACGGTGACTTATTTAGTTCTTCTTTCCATTAGTCCTCTTTACCACTATCAACAGGATGCTTTCTTCCAGAAGCCACAAAGAAGTTCTCCACTGCTGTACATCAGGGGTTGGCAAACTATGACCACAGGCTAAGTCTGGCCCACTGCCTGTTTTTGTAAATAAAGTTTTATTGGAACACAGCCACACTCATTCATTTACAATCATCTATGGCTGCTTTTCTACTACAATAGCAGAGTTGAGTAGTTATAACAGAGGTCTTATGGCCAGCAAAACCTAAGATGTTAACTATTGACCCTTTATACAAAAAGTCTGACTCCTGCCCTAGATCCTCTATGGCAAAATTTAAAATAATTATAATAATGGCCAATGTTGATCAAACTTTTCAACATGCAATGCACTATTAAACACATTACATTAATTATATCAATAAATCTCTACAATAGCTCTATGAAGTAGGTGCTTTTGTTTTCCCCATTTTAAAAGTGAAGAACCCAAGCCCGGCCAGTGTGGCTCAGTGGTCAAGTATCAATCCATGTACCAAGAGGTCGCCGGTTCGATTCCCAGTGGGAGCACATGCCCAGGCTGTGAGCCAAATCCCCATTGTGGGGCACGCAGGAGGTGGCCAGTTGATGTTCTCTCTCATCAATGTTTCTCTCTCTCTCTCTCTCTCTCTCCCTCTTCCTTCTTCTCTCTCTAAAATCAATAAAAGAAAAAACTTTTTTTTTTTTAAGTGAAGGACCCAAGGCTTACAGAGCTAATGAGGTCCCAGAACAATGAAGTGGGGGAGGCTGGGTTCAAAGCCCATCAGTCTCACTCCAGTGCCCACTCTCTGTACCAGTGAACAATATTTCCTCTGCTATAATAATGATAACAGCTGCCATTTGCTAGTGTTTACTGTCCACCAGCCTTTGCATGGGTTGTCTCTAAAGCCCACCACTACTTGCAGCTGTACTCTCCAAAGATCAGGAAACAGAAATTGCTTACTTTACCCAAGAACAGACAGAAGTAGAAGACCCTGTGTTCAAACTTAGACGCCGCAGCCCTTTCATTACATGCCACCTCACAGCAGAAAGACAGCACCCATGAAGTGCATTAGAAATGATAATTGTGTGTTGTGTGAGAGGAGAGACAGTTAGCACACCCTTGACGAGGGGGAAGAGGCTCTCAGGCCCGACAGCACGCAGTCGATAAGGTATCGCTGCCCACTTCAAGGCATCGAGCCATCATTTGTAAATCCTGAGAGCTCTCATCACAAGGAGAAAATTATTTTTCTTTTTTTCATTTCTTCTCTCTTTTCTTTCTACTGTATCTATATGAGGTGATGGATGTTAACTGACCCGACTGCGATAATTATTTCACAATATATATCAATTAAACCATCATGCTGTATGCCTTAAACTTACACAATGATGCATGTCAATTACTTCTCAATAAAACTGGGGGGAAAAAAAAACCATATTTTTTCCTAATTTTCTACTCTGTCTAGAAAGACTAGGAATCACCACAATCAGGTCCCAGCCTCACTTAGTCATGAACTCTCTGTGTGGCTCTGGGTATGCCATTTAGCCCTTTCAGATCTCAGCTTCTTTGTTGGCAGAAGCAGGGAGGAGTTCTGGAAGTCCTCCGAGATCCCGCTCAAGTACTCTCTAACCTTCCACTCTGCCGGTGGGAGTTGTGTGGCCATTTCTGCTCTGTGAGTATATGTGTGGTCCTGGTCATTCCAAAGAACTGTCAGAAATAACCAGTCAAGTTTCTGATGTAAAACTCCTCCCACGGGATGATCTCAGCGTGGGCCCTGACTGCCTTCCACTCAAGAGAGAGGCTGAATTCAAGTCGACCCCTCTGGCCACTTGCCATTACAGGCTGGCCCGGGAAAACCAGTGCTTCCCCTTAGAGCACCCAGAGGACCAGATGCTCTGGCTCTTGCTCCTTCTTCATTCATTTTGATGTCTCTGATTTGGGGTGTTTTGGCTAATTTATTAAACAGCCAGTAAGATCTAATTTCTGAGGCCCAGGTGGGTCAAATGCAGTAAAATGTACATTCAATGTTACGAGATTTGGCGGAGGTGATTGTTTCCTTTCATCATAATGGTTTAAATCACTAGCGGTCCATCTGGTAAATTAAAAGAGTGAGGCTCATAGCTATTCATAAAAGGTAGGACTTTCCCAATGAGCTGTTTTATCTAGATCTTGTTTCTAACCCTATCCATATGGTAAATAACCAAACTCTAAGGACCACTGAAGTCACCGGATAGAGGCCTTCATCGGGTGAAAAATGGCTCCCGGGGAAGAACTGAGTCCTAAAGCCCACCTCTCTGAGTTTCTCGAGTCTCTCCTCACAGTCTGGCTCCCGTCACTTTGACTGATGGGCAAAACCGATGTAAGGAAGTACTTCCATCGAGTTTACTTCTTTAAGTGACTTGGTTTAAGAAAGGGAAAAAAGAAAAAGGCCATCTTGCCAGTGATCCCTTTAAGCCTTTTTAATTACAAAATTCTTCTTTATGGTGCGACTGACCTAGCCCAGCGGAGTCCATCTCGGAAATGTGCTGAAGTGGGGCCCAGCACTGCCAGCCAAGGCTGAGAAATGTTTTACGTATCACGACTCTACATTTTTCTCCTGTCTGGGAGGCTCGGGGATTCAGCCTGTGTGAATCATGCCTGCCCTTTGTGTATGCATGAATGAGATGTTTTAGACACTGAGACATAGCTAGACACCAGCCCTTCCTGGAAAAATAAGACCTAGACCCCGAATCAGGGTGAGTGCACGGACGGTCCCCAGTGCCAACTAATTTCCAACGGTGAATAAAGATAACAATGCCTAGCACGCTCTCCAATTCGCCTACTGGACCCTAACCTTTAGCAAGACAAAAATGTCACATATAATGGATCCTAAAATTAATGACACATTTTGCTTTTCAGCTGAGAATGAGGTCAGCTTCCTACCTCCTCAAGATGAGAGGTTGTCATTGTTTGAGTCCACTTAACAGCACCACACACATTAGGCATCAGAAAATATCTGATAACTTAGAAGCTCAGAATATAGATCAAAAATAAACCTATGATGTCAATCAGCTTCATCCCTAACTTTTTTTAAAATTGATATTTAGAGACAGAGAGGAAAAGAAAGAGAGAAACGTCAATTTGTTGTTCCACTTATTTATGCATTCATTGGTTGATTCTTGTAGGTGCCCTGACCAAGGATCAAACCCACAACCTTGGTGTATCAGGACAATGCTCTACATAACTGAGCTTACCTGGCCAGGGCTGCATCCCCTAACTTTTGACAGGGCCACACTGAAAGCATCCTGTTCCTGCAAGAAAAATTTCCTTGCCAGGCTTCGCTTATTCATTTATGAGATAATGATTTACTGAGCACCTGCTATTTACAAGACACTATTCTAGGCACAGGGCATACCTTGAACACAACAAAGTCATACTGTAATCAATCTTACTTTTAAAAAAAAAAGATATTTGCCCTGGCCGGTTTGGCTCAGCGGTTGGAGCGTCGGCCTGCAGTACAGAGGGACCCGGGTTCGGTTCCCGCTAAGGGCACGTACCTCGGTTGCAGTTTGTCCCCGGGTCGTGCGGGTGGCAGCCACTCGATGTGACCCTTCACATCGATGTTTCTCTCTCTCTCTCCCTTCCTCTCTCTCCCTCCCACTCTATCTGTACAAAAAATGGAAAAAAATCCTCGGGTGAGGATAAAAAAAAAAAAAAAGATATTTATTGTTGAATGTAGTACATATGTCCCACCTTTTTCCCCCACTGACCCCTCCTCCCTGCTCCAACCGCCCCTCCTGCGTTCCCCTCACTACTGTCTGTGTCCATTGGTTATGCATATATGCACATAAGTCCTTTAGTTGATCTCTTCTCATCCCCCTTTGTCCTTTTCATTTTGAGGTTTATCTAACAACCAATTTGTACTTCTTAATTCCTTCACCTTTTTCACCCATCCCCCTTACCACCTCCCATCTGGCAACCAACAAAAAGTTCTCTGTATCTATAAGTCTGTTTCTGTTTTGCTTGTTCATTTTGTTTGTAGATTCAATCGTTGACAGATATGTATTAGTTGCCATTTTATTGTTCATATTTTTTTATCTTATTCTTCAAGAAAACCCTTCAACATTTGATATAATACTGATTTGGTGGTGATGAACTCCTTTAGCTTTTTCTGGTTGAGAAACTCTTTATATGTCCATCCATTCTAAATGACAGCTTTGCAGGATAGAGTAATCTTGGTTGTAGGTTCTTACATTTCATCACTTTGACTCTTTCTTGCCACTTCCTTCTTGCCTGCAGTTTCTTTTGAGAAATCGGCTGACAGTCTTATGGGAGCTCCCTTGTGGGTAACTAACTGCTTTTTTCTTGCTGCTTTTAAGGTTCTCTGTTTTTCACCTTCTGCATTTTGATGATGATGTGTCTTGGTGTGGGCCTCTTTGGATTCATCTTGTTTGGGACTCTCTGTGCTTCCTGGACTTGTATGTCTGTTTCCTTCACCAAGTTAGGGAAGTTTTCTGTTATTATTTTTTCAAATAGGTTTTAAATTTCATGCTCTCGCTCTCTCTCACTTTCGAGACAGGCAATATACAAATGAGCAAGAGAAAATGCATGATAGTGGTTAGTGTTATTTCAAAAACAAAACAGGATAATATGATCCAGAAGGTCTAGACTACTTGTGTTTGAATAGTCAAGAAAGATTCTCTGAGCAGTTGGCACTGAAGGTGAAAACAGAATAAAAATGATGATGCCCGGTGAAGACCTTAGCTGGGAGAACATTCCAGGCACAGGGAATACCTACCTCAAAGGCTCTAAGATGGAAGGGACCTTGAAGTTGTCAACACATAGCAAGAGAAGAGTGAGAGAGAGGAAGAGAGATATGGCGTAGGTCAGAGAGGTGGGCAGAAGCCAGATCTCATAAGGTACTGAAGACACGGTTGGAGAACTTCATTTTGGCCTAATAATTATGGGCGGCTATTAGAAGTTTTTAATAAAGGGTGCTTTGTGACCTGATTTTTTTTTTTTAAATAATGCTCTCACTAGTGAGCAGGGAACTGTTTTCAGGAGGCGAAAATGGAAGCGGAAAGGCCACTCAGGAGGTGATGGCAGTGGTCCAGGTGAGAGATGATGGAGGCTTTTCCTGCTTGGGGTGTGGAGGGGGTGATCAGTAAACACAAAGAGAAGTAGGAAGTTTGGAGAAATGTTTTGGAGATGGAATGGCAGAATTTGCTGATGGATTGGGTGTGGAGAATGAGGGAGTCGAGATGATTGTCCTGCCCTGGCCGGTTTCAGTGGTTAGAGCATCAGCCTTCAGACTGAAGGGTCACGGGTTCAATTTCCAGTCAAGGGGACATACCTGGGTTGCAGGTTTGATCCCCAGCCCCTGGTTGGGGTCATGCGGGAGACAACCAATCAATGTGTCTTTCTCACATCAATGTCTTTCTCTCTCCCTCCCTCCCTCCCTTCCACTCTATCTAAAAAAATCAGTGGAAAAATATCCTTGAGTGAGGATTAACAACAACAAAAAATGACTGTCCTGATTTGGGCTAGCTCAAACCAGGACCACCTGTTCACTACTTTGGCATCTGAGATTGTGATGTATCAGGCAAGTAGCACCAGAAGCATGACCGATTGCACTGTACACGTGACATGCACCAGGGGAGACCAGCATATTTTATCAACTGCCATCAAAGGAATCATCACCATTCTGACTCTCTCCTACACAGCACGTCGGTTACTGAGAGAGCCTCTGAGCAGGGCTGCATAAGAGTACTCTTCTTCACGTCAGCAGAAAGAGTGCATTTCCTCATTATGTCCCTGTAGCTGGGAGGCACAGGAAACAGAGAGTAGGCTGGGAATTCTGTGCTTTGTTAAAGTGAAGGGACAATCAGCATTGGGAACATTAACCATGGCAGCACATAGGATTGCTCAACGATGTAGGAAAAGAAAAACCAGTCATCTGAATTGAATTTTCAGCTGGAGCCTAAGAGGCCAAATTTAATCATCCACCTAAAATTATCACACAAGTCAATACTTCCACCTTCTTGCAAAGGGAAAGAGACTGATTCTTTAGTTTTCAGTCAAGCAGGTGGCCTTGAGGCAGCTAACCAGCTGGCTGAAATCTAAATACCTTCGCCAAGACAAAAGCCAGCAACATGATTGATTATCTTCTCATTGTAGGGGAAGAGAACCGCCCCCAACCAATCAGCATGCAGAACTGCTATCAGATTATCA